CAAAAGGGTGCAATAAAAATATTTACAGAAAAAGATGTTGCCAATATATATATATGTATATATATATATAAATATACAGAGAACAATAGCACAGCAAAGAGAGAACAGAAAGAAGTTTAGAGGAATAAAGTACTTGCCGTCAGCCTTGGGTTAAGCAGATCAGGTTTCAGAGCCAAAAGGGTCTTATCTCCCAAAGTTAGTTTTTCTAGGAACTCCTAGGAACTGTCTAGGAACTCCACAGGGTGTCTCCCTGAAGCAGAGAACCAATCACCTTATTTGGGGAGGGGGTTGTGTAGGCGTTGAGCTCAGGCTATGACCAAAGCCTTCCCAAATTATACTATGGCCAATAACTTTTCCTAAGTACATATAACATTCTATCCATGAGTAGATTAATACCCAGAATCATCTGCTGAACGGTTAGATATGAAATATGACATACCTGCTTGAATGGTTAAGGAGATATAATTTTCTGCTCTCCTGTGTATGTCAGATAGGGGGTGTAATATACCAGGCGATTTGTATTAAAGTGAGCCATCCGAATATGTGCTCCATGTTTGTGTAATTATTTTCTATTTGGAGATATAAAATTATATGGAAAACTAGGTTTTAAAATGTAAGTCTGTTTTACTACTCCCTGGAAGGTCTTTTGAAGCTCAGTGAGGGCTCGGTTTACGGCTTTACGACCCCCTTCTCCAGCAAGAGTCTCGCAGACAGAGGGGCACCAGCTAGTTGTGGGATTTATAACCATGATGCCCTCCCAATGAGTTTGCTGCCTGTGATCTGCATCAAACAGACCACATGTCACTCAACAGAGAGGGATAGGGGGGATGAAGAAAGCTGATTTGAGAGTAGAAACGATACAAAATGTAAGATTCTTCACAAGATGGATGACCACGTCCATCTCGGTGTGCACGATTGCTACAGTGACGTCACTAGGCTTCGCCCAACGCATTGCGTCATTGGTCACGTGACTTCCTCAGGGTCCCTGAATGTGTGACGATATACCGTCTCAATGGGAGCTCTGGAGTCCGATCTCTTAAAGGGCCAGTATCGAGGTAATAGCCATTGAAGGATAGCAGTGGATGATCAACATTTAACCACATCCCAACCTCCCTATAGCATATATACTACTACAGAGGGCAGGGGTGCACAAAATCACATATATATACATGATTTTGTATTTCTGGGTAGGGGGCACGCGCAGGCTGCGTGCGCCCTACCTGCGCTGCCATTTGCTGTCAATCACTGGGTCCTAGTTGATGCCCACCGCAGTCCTGCTATAAGTTTCTGATCACTGCCATTACTAGTAAAAAAAGAAGAAAAAATTCCAGTATACATACCGCCATTTGTAAAGACTATAACTTTCACGCAAACCATTTAATTTACATGTATTGGGATTTTTTTTAGCAAAGACATGTAGCAGAATACATTTTGGCAAAAATTTATGACAAAATTTGATTTTTTACTGGACATGTTTATTAGCAAAAAAGTCAAAAAATATAGTTTTTTTCTCAAAATTGTCGGTTTTTTTTTATAGTGCAAAAAATAAAAACCGCACAGGCAATCAAATACCCCCGAAAGAAAGCTCAGTTCGTGGGAAAAAAAAAAAGACATGATTTCATTTGGGTCTAGCATTGCATGACCGCTCAATTGTCAGTCAAAGTAACACAGCGCCGTAACACAAAAAATGGCCTGGTCAGGAAGGGGGGTAAATCCTCAGGAGGGCAAGTGGTTAAAGTGACCTATTCTCTATATAGGTCAAGGAAGAAGGTGAGTATATGGTACACTTATCGGTGATGGGAAGCACTATGGATTATTGTACACATTGGATAATGTGAATATTGAATCACCCTGTTGTGGAGCACGTTGTGTTTCTGTTCAATGTGAGTGCATACGTTTCGTTCACTTAGTGTTCAATTTATTTAAACGGTGTTGCACTATGGAATGTATTTAGTTTTTTTATGCATTGTTTGGACCCAAGATTGAGTGAAGATATATTTGGAGGGAATAATACATGGATTTATCACAATATGAAGGATACACATTCCAACAAAAACTAATTTGACCTATTATATTATGTAGGTCGAACTCTAAGGTGAGCAGGGAGTGTGCCCTTAATACAAGCATGTTTTGGAAAGTGGATGACAGCACAGTATTAGGACATTTTGAATTTGGAATTGAACTATCATATTTTCACAGTTGATTTATTGTGGACTGTTATATATTGTTTACTTGAGTTTTCTATATATTTTTTTTATGAGGAGTTGCACTATAATTATTTTTAATATAAAGGGGTACTGTGTACCCCTTACCCATTTATTTAAGGGAGGGGCAGATATCTGGGGACCTCCTTATTGTAAATGGAGCTTTCAAATTCTGATAAGTCCCCCTTCACCTGTTTGTTCTTCCTTTGGCTACCAACAAAAGACAGCAGCGAAGTGTCATTTTGCAGCAGTAGGCAGTACAGCTACTAGGTGACCTGATATTTTTATACTGCAGCTATCCCATCCCAAGGATCACCTATCACTGAGACAGGAAGAGAGGGAAGATCTCTGCAATGGGGAGACATAGAGATTAAACATTGACACAAAGCAGATGACCAAAATTGTAAACAGTAGTGGTTGCACATCACTATGGTGTTAATCTTTAAGGTTTTTTTTTTTTGTCAGAAAATTCAGCTCTTATTTCAAGTGGTCATGTGACTGCTTTTGCAATCCCCTTTTAGTGAGGACCCTCCCGTGAGAAGGTATGTGGGTGGGGCTAGTTAGTTCTATATAATCTGTGGACCTTTCAAGGTAGACCTGTAACAGGATCTGTTGGGAGAACCCTTCTATTAGGGACCCACAATGAGGATAGTGGAAGAGTTGAGCTACCATTCTATACTCAAGTTGGACTTCTACTGAGCAGAATTGTGAATGTTGAAATGGAGGGAGTTGAGGTGAAGTTTGCGGTGTTAAGAACTATTCCATTTCATTGCTAAGGCAGTAAAAATTGTTAAAAAGGTATAAAAAATATGTGATCGCGCTAAAAGGGAGCAGCTATGCACAAAAGGTAACCAAAATAAAACCTCAATAAAAATGGTAAATAATGGTGCAGCGCTTAAAAATGGAAATAAATCATCTTAATAAATAATCTTATATGGAAGCAACTTATCAAATGCAATGAATGAAGTTCATGAATAAACAGTTGATAAATAAATAATAAAAAGTTCAAAGGTGACTATAGTTCTCTGAAGGTGCCTGCTTCAATGGTAATCTGGTGCTTGTGCACATGGTTGTAGAAAAATTGCGCACTCACCAGATGTAAATATATATCCAGATGTCCTCGAGATGGACCAGGTGATGGGTTATCCTCCCTCTGAAGGGCAGGTGGCACATCTGATAATTCCAGGGCTTAATGATGATCCAAATCAGCCAGAGGTCCCCTTAAGGGCTGGGTGGGTGTAGGCATTTGATAAATTGCTTCCATATAAGATTATTTATTAAGATTCTTTATTTCCAGTTTTTAGCATTGCACCATTATTTACCAAAAATGGTTAAAAGGCTGACCATGTGGACATTCCTTATTTCTGCAGGTTGGCCTCGGGCTAAGAGTATGTGAGTGACCAAAGATGGCGGAGTTTCTCACTGTTACAGATGTGTCTTCCCTTCCCTGAAAAGATGAATACAGAAGAGCTCTTTGACTAGAATGGTGTTTGCTGGCAGCAAATCAGGACCATGCTTACTGCTGTTTCTCTCTCTCCCTCATTCTGTTTCAGTATAACAGGGGCATTGGGTGTGGAGAAGAGGAGCCAAAACATTTTTTCTGGTAATGACATTATCTAGTCCTGCACTTTAACTCCCATCACCCCTTGCTGGACTTCTCATTGTTGAGGTTGTCTTTCAAAAGGGAAAAAGGACAGGGCTAGTTTGTGGTAGGAAATATGTGCATGACCATCCTCTCCTTCCTCAGTAAATATCCTAGACTATTAAGGGAAGCATTAGCCCAGGCTGCATTACATATTTTGACTGGACATACACTTTAGGTTCTTCAAAACTTCAAAACAAGCAAAAAACTGTTTTGGCTGGGGTAGGCATTTAAGTCATATTACAAGACGTCATTCCAGATTTATTCTATCATCACAGTGGAATTTTCTGAAGACTTGTCTCACACTTTTAAAGCTTCAAGGTAGGAGACATTGTACCATACAAAAGCCACTCTTGAGCTGGATAAATTAAAATCTTCCCTGCTGCTCCTGACTGTATTTCAATTTTTTCTTCCTCTTCTGTATTTATTTAGCTGTAATGTAAGCAAAAGGAGTAGTCCCTGGTGGCCAATGTCTTGTTTGATGCATGACACGCATAAGGAAAATTGTCTCCGGCTTTGAGCAGGTAATGACACACTCATGTATTCCTCTTAAAAAAGGAATGTTAAATCAATCAAAAAACTCCACAGGGTCTGGCTGCCCTAACATTTTGAAAACTCATTTGCGCTCTGCTTTGGGTTCTAACGTAATTTCACACAGCCATTATATATGAACTGTTGGCGGAATCATTTTTGGTTAAGGACTTAATGCAGGAAATGGAGAGCTTTTTCTCCAGTAGCTCTTCAAGCTTCCAGTGACCTGTGAGGGAACTTTAATTGCATAGAAAGTAAATGTCTCTGGTGTAAATGTGTCATAAATCTCCTTTAGAATTCAAGCTTTGCTTCCTGAAATAATATGGCTTACTGCTCTCGCAGAGGGACAGCATACAGGCCCAATTGACAAATGTAGTCCTGTTACTTATGATGCCGAGGTAGATGATCACTAATAGTGAGAACAATACAGGGTTATTGGAAAAGGTAGCAGGGAATTGATTGATATGGCTGTTACAATGTCTAAAGCCTGCAACCTTAATGTTTCCAACATGTGGGCTTGAAGTTATGGGAAGATCATGTAGGTCGGGAAAAGAGCATGGCATTATTGTAAAAAGCTATACATAATGTAAGATAAATATCAAAGGGACTCCTAAAAATCACAGTTATGCTCTCTACCCAGGGGCGGACTGACAACTCATGGGGCCCCTGGGCAATAGGGGATCATGGGGCCCCTGTGTCCTTGCCCAAACTCAAAAAACTCTATGAAAAAGGTACCAGGGGCATCTCATGGGGCCCTCTACTGACCCCGGGCCCTCGGGCGGTGCCCGAGTTACCAAATGGTCAGTCCGCCCCTGTCTCTATCTCCAAAAGTCCTAGTGTCTGGTAACAGGGCACTAATAGGTCAGCATGACCCAACACTGGTGGCTGGAAAAAAATAATCCTCAGCATGTACTTCTTTTAAACTACGTAAATTGCAGGAATTGTTCTTGAGTCTGGTGCCCCGTGAGTTGAAAGGCCTGTAATAAACAGACCTAAATAAAATAATGTATGTAATGTAACAACACCCAGGATGTTTATCATAAAGTATATTTATGGTATTGGACAGTGATTGTCAATGGATCCAATAACTTACAGTTTCATTTGTTTAAAGTGACACTCAGGCTCCATTTACACATAGACGTTTCAAATCGTGGGTGGAATTGCCGCGATTCTGCTAGGTTCGGTAACCTTTTTTGGGCGTTGCGTGCCCTGTGATGTTGTTTGCGCAATCGCATCATGTTTTTCACATGAAAAACCGTGCTGCGAAGGCGGCAAAACGCCCCGTGTTTTCAGGTGCCATTGAAATGAATGACACCTGAGCATGGTAATGCATATTTTAACAGGGTGTTTTCAAACTGCGGGCAGAATTGCGACGATCCTGCCTATGATTTGAAATGCTTATGTCTGAATGGAGCCTAAACAATATAATTATTCTCCAAAAATAATCCATACACATTTACTGCTTAATGGCCCTGTAATCTATTTTTCATGAAATTGTTTCTCACTGCATTTTTCTATCTCCTGGTTATCATTTGATAGCTGATAAACAAAGCCTTCTGATCTTGACCAATGTGCAATGTGCAAATAACAGCAGCATACACAATAAATAAGTAAAACATTAATTTTCTTTAATTTCTCTTGTGTTTGTGCTTCCATTATGTGTGTGTGTAATTGTTTCACAGCAAGAAAAAAAATCACAAAAAAGTAATGCACACTAACTGACAATTGCACAGTCATGCAACGCTGTACATAAATGAAATTTATGTAATTTTTTTCTCCCACAAATAGAGCTTTCTTTTGGTGGTATTTGATCATCTCTGCGTTTTATTTTTTGTGTTATAAACAAAAAAAGACCATCAATTTGAAAAAAAAAAACTATATTTTTGACTTTTTGCTATAAAACAAAGCCAATAAAAAAATAAAATTTCTTTATAAATTTAGACCAAAATATGTTCTGCTACGTCTTTGCTGAAAAAAAATCCCAATACGTGTAAATTAAATGGTTTACGTGAAAGTTGTAGCGTCTACAAATGACAATATATATACTGGAATTTTTTTTTTTTATACTAGTAATGGCGGCAGCTAGCGACTTATAGCGAGCTGCGGGCATTCTGACATTGGGTGGGAACTGACTAACATCTCTAGTCACACTAATACAGTGATCAGTGCTAATATAAAACACTGACACTGTACTAATGACACTGGGCAGGAAGGGGTTAACATCTGGGGCAATCAAAGAGTTAACCGTGTGTTGTGTGTGCTGTTTTAGTAGGGAGACATGCTGCTTTCTCTCTCTCTGCTATGCAGAGGGAGAGAGAAAGCAGCATGTCCATTCTAACAGGACAGAGATCTGTATTGTTTACACAAAGATCTCTCCCCTCTCAGCTTTAGTGGTGATCACCGAGTGCCAGTCAAGAATCGCTGATTGGGACTCGGTGATTGACATCCACTGCAACCGGAAATGCTAAATTACGTATATTGACGTGATTTTGCGCAGAGCTGCGCAGTATATCTTCTATAGGTAGGTAAGCGGTTAAATTATAACCTGTCAGTTTAATTTTTTACCATTTGGGTTCCATTGGGGAGATTTCCCTTCACTTCTCGTCACATAGCCAAAACAGCAAAAGGAGAGGAAATCCCCCCAAAATAAGGGAATCCTGGTGTTCTGGGGACAACCCAAAATGTGTGATTTTCTTTCACTTTCTGTGATAATAGTAAAAAGAGAGGGTGAATCTCCCTAACGGGGGCACAGACAGCATTAAGAGACAAGGGTTCTAAACCCACTCCACTCTATCCAAAGCTTAAAACAAGTTTTTCCTTTACTTATACTTTAAAACCCCCACATTATATATATATATAATCATGGCCAAAAATATTGGCATCCCTGAATTTCTGTCAGATAATGCACCACTTCGCCCAGAAAATGTTTGCAACTACAAATGTTTAGGCATTCCCATGTTTATTTATTTTGTTTGTATTGGTATGATCCAAAAAAGTGGAGAAGCAAAAAGCCAAATCTGACACATTTGACACCAAACTCCAAAAATGGACTGGACACAATTATTGCACCCTCAATTTAATATTTTGTAGCACAGCCCCTTGGAAAAAAATAACTGAAATCAATTGCTTCTTGTAACCATCAATGAGTTTCTTACACCTCTCTACTGGAATTTAGGACCACTCTTCTTTCGCCAACTGCTCCAGATCTCTCAGGTTGGAAGGGTTCCTTTTCCCAACTACTGTTTTGAGATCTCTTCATAGGTGCTCTATGGGATTGAGATCTGGACTCATTGCTGGCCAGTTCAGTACTCTCCAGTGCTTTGTCGAAAACCTTTTCTGGGTGCTTTTTGGCATGTGCTTTGGGTCATTATCTTGCTGTAAAACCCATGACCTCTGATGGAGACCCAACATTCTGACACTGAGCCCTACATTGCACCTCAGAATTCTTTAAATTAGTCTTTAAATTTCATAATGCCATGCACACAGTCAAGATATCCGGAGCCTGACTGTAGGGAGGCCTCATTTCTTTTTCAAACAGTAGAATGATGGGCTTTACCAAAAAGCTGTAATTTGTTTCATCTGTCCATAACACATTCTCCCAAAAGGATTTTGTCTTCCTCAAGTAAGTTTTGGCAAACTCCAATCTGGCTTTTTTATGTTTCTGTGTCAGCAGTGGGGTCCTCCCGGGTCCCTACCATAGCAACCCTTTTCATTCAGATTGCGACATATAGTGCGAGCTGAATAACAATAAAGTATAGCACAACAAACTAATAGCTCATATAAAAATCAATGTAAAAAAATTAAATTATTGTTGCTATTGTTGTAAATGTAATTATTGTTATTCATTTTGGTACAGGTGTTGTAAAGTGTTTTAGCAGCAACTATTTAGAGCACTATCATATTATTTCAGGGTGTGTTGCGCTGATTGTATAAGGGTTTAGACTTTGTGCAGCTGACACAGTTGTGCCCTGTGCCTGAAGGTCAGCTTGAATTTGTCTGGAAGTTGATCGAGGTTCTTTAGCCAACATTCCAACAATCCTTCGTTGCAATGTTTGATCAAGTTTTCTCTTTCATCCACGTCCAGGGAGATTAGCTACAGTGTCATGGGCTGTAAATTCCATGACAATGTTGTGCACACTGGACACAGGAACATTAAGATCTGTCAACTGATACAGGTAAGTTTAATTACAAATTACAGGAGCATCACAAGCTTGGAATGCAAATATTTCTTACAATTTTGAGATGGTGCCAATAATTTTGTCCAGTCCATTTTTGGGGTTTTGCATGAGATGTGTCAGATTTGGCTTTTTGTTTCTCCACTTCTTTGTTTCATACCAATACAAACAAAAGAAATAAACATGAGCATGCTAAAAATTTTGTAATTGCAACAATTTTCTTGGCAATGTGGTGCATTATCTGACAGATATTCAGGGGTGCCAATAGTTATGGCCATGACTATATATATATATATATATATATATATATATATATATATATATATATATATTGAGCTCCTGTTAAAAGATGGTAATTGTAGATTTTTATTGTCACACAATATTTCCAGAAGTGTTGAAGACTTTATAAAAATATTTCAATGGAGTAGCAGGCAGGTAAGGACCACGAAGGACTAGACAGGATGTGAATAGTGTGATACAAATGCAATAAAAGGTAGACAACAGGTAGACTACAAAATTAAAGTCACTGTAATATGTTAAGAGTGGCATTGATAATTTTGCAACGTATAAGTTTTGTTTCAGGCTTTTTTCTAAGTATATTATTACTAAGATTTTCCATCATATCAAATAAGAAACATCAGGTGCAAAATTCATACAACTGACAATGAATAAGCACAGTTTTTAACATAGTATTATTTTGCTTCGCATCAGTACACTACTTTGGTATTTTCTTTTGTGAACACAAGGAAGTGCAAACATAAAATGTAAGCATTATGGCACTAAGCCTTGATGTACTACTAGAGGATCATGACTACTATAAGCTAAAAGGGACAGTCTATGGCAGGGGTAGGCAACCTGAAGAGGTGGAGATCTACCTCAACAACATGGGAGAAGTCAAAGATCACCCGGCAGGGTGTCACCCCCTCACACCTGATCTAAACCTCTAATTGCCGTACTACCATGCCATAATCGTGTGCATTGCCCGGCAACCATGCGTTTAAATCAGGTGGTGAGGAGGCAACTTATCGCCTTCTCACCACTTGTCAAATACACTTGGATTGCTTTTCAGAAGAGCACCAGTGCTGCACTTGTGAATGAGCCTTTAGTTGCATTCGGCAGAGGGGGGTTGCTAAAACCCTGCGGTTCAGTCATGGCTTTACTGCCCCCAACCCCTACCCCCTTTAGCTGCAGAGGCAGCAGCCAAAGGTGTACACATGCCGCAGCAGGAATTAAACCTCCTGTTGCTTTTGATGGGTGTTATCTCCTGCCACTTTGTGACCCATTCAAGTAAAGGGGCCGCTCTGCAAGCACCCCGCAACGGCATGCTTCTGCGGGGTTAGCAGGTGGCGAGAAAGCAACACAACGATGCCTGCATTAACCCCTTGTTTGTTGTACTGCACAAGGTTGCAGAGCACTTGCAGAGTGGCCTCATTCACTTGAATGGGTCATGCTTGACAGGTGCTATACCCACCAACCATGACAGGGCATATAACTCCTACTGTAGCTGCAACAGGTGTACACCCTTGGCCACTGCAGCTAGAGAGGGAGACGGGGGGTGGTAAAAACACATTAACTTTAGCTTAGTAATAGACTTCTATTATATCCTGCAGGTGTGGTGCACTTTCTAAAAGTGCACCAAAACTCCTGAATACATGAGGCGCACCAAACCTGCAAGATATATGAGATGTCTATGGCTAAGTGCAGCAAACCCTCAGGAAAGCTGCAGGTACACTGCAATGAACCCACGGTGTGGGTAAAC